GAGCAACATATTTCCTGAATTCTGCCTGATTTGAAATGGGCATTTGGCCTCTTTTTTTTTTTTTTTTTTTTTCAAAACTAAGTTTTCAGTACTGGCCCTTGAAAGTGGAAGAAACTATAAAATTTTCAAACAAGGGTGATACTTGGGCCCCATAAAGTTCCTTTAAGGGTAAATATATATGGATGTATCTATATTTCTGAGTGAAAATACAGTTTTTGGTTGACAATTCACCAAATTTTGAGGCCTCCAACATCAGTAGAATTTGATATGAGGCAAATATTATAAGCCGAGGTTTGAGTTTTCCAGATAAGATGTCTTTTTGAGGGTCAGAACTTTTCACAGACAGGTTTTTGGTTCTAAATATCACATAAGTAACAAAATCTGAGCCAGTGCAGCAACATTTTTCCTGAATTCCTGAATTGACATGGATGCTGCAAATAGGCTTATAAGGCTCCCAGCTGTGGCCCATTTTGTTTGTCTAGATTTTTTGCTGAACGACAAATCAACTGGTTTAAGAGTAGGTATGAGTTCAGTGAAACCAAGACTTCTTTTGTACCACTGCCGCCCCTCTAATGTCCACTGTGCCTGTCTTCTCTTAGCCGACGACCACCAGGCTCTGATCTGGGACATCCAGCAGATGCCCCGGGCCATTGAGGATCCCATCCTGGCCTACACCGCTGAAGGGGAGATCAACAACGTGCAGTGGGCCTCCACGCAGCCGGACTGGATCGCCATCTGCTACAACAACTGCCTGGAGATCCTGCGCGTCTAAAGCAGCAGAGACGGAGCGCTGTTTCAAATTTGGACTTTTTTCCAGTCCTCATCCGTCTTCTTCCTGGACAAGGATGAGGCCACGAGTGAACTTTCTGAACGTGTTTGGAGTACCACATACCTACTCCGCAATAACCTGGTTTACATTTTGGGTTTTTGTTTTTTTTTTCCACGTCTTTACTCCACTGTTCTTCTATTAAAACGTGTTTAAGCTCTTATTTATTTTGCTCACAAGGTAGTGTTCAGCAGCTGTAAGAAGCACCAGTGCTTTGAGCTCTGCGCTGTTGTCGATGAAAGTCAGATTTTTATACTCGTAGGTGTGATTTCAGCCAGCTGTGAGATTATTATGAAGGGTTTAGATGTTGTGCATTTCATCCGTTTAGTTCGTCAAGGTTGATACAAACGGCTGTGGGTGGCAGAAGATGACCTCTCTAATACGTAGGACTATGTTGTAGCCTTCTTGTGGATACATACCATATTACTGGTGATTCATGGATCAGTATATTCTAGTCTTGTTTACCCTAGTGGCAATTTAAGCTGTTTAAATTTGTCAAATGGGTGTGTGTCCAGTATCCTCTCTTCAGATAATCGTGTCTGGGCTCAACTTGGTGACCTGTGCTACTTTGAAAAATTGTACATTAACTCGAGAGGGATTCATGTCGTCACTGCAGTGGTGTCTGTCATCATATGGTATGTTTTAGTTTGACTGGTGACGCTGAGAAGCAACCAGCAACACTGAGAACCTGCCAGAGCAATGTTGTTCAGCCTTTTAGCTCCTTAATAACTCTCCTCCTCTTCTTCTTCTTCTTCTTCTTTCTTTTTGTTTGTAGAAGATTGTGCTTGGAAAGCTGCATTTTTTTCTTTGTTAGAGTGAGTTGTGAAATGGAAGGAAAAAACAATTTTCTGACTGCGTCTTTGTCTGCCTCTATTTTTTTTTTTTTTTGTTTGTTGTTTTCAGTAATTAAAGGGTCATGTCCTTGTAGCATGCCATTACAAGGCAAACTGTACATACATATAAATATATCAACTTAAGATGTTGGTAAGCCAAGTGTTCATGTTGTAGCTTTTTTCATAAAGTTTATTATTGAATTTGCTCTAATAAATTGTATTCCTCCATGTCTTAGAAACTAACTCTGTGGTGGCGTTTGCTTTTTTAGTGAAGTTTTAATTGGTGTTAAGGTCACACCAGGTCAATCTTTATGTCACACTGGGAGTTAATTAACAGTATTGCTGATTTTGCATGGCCTCAGGTCAAAGAATAAGCATAAATTAACCCAGGGGGCACCCAGATTTGAACTGGGGACCTCTTGATCTGCAGTCAAATGCTCTACCACTGAGCTATACCCCCTCTGCTGATCAGCTGGCTGAGGTGTTTCCAGAGACCAATGTTTACCTTCACATGAGACGTAAAGCTCCTCCCTGTCCTGCTGTCTTTTTTTCTATCAGTTCCCAGCAGCAGCCTGTATTCATGGTCCTCTAAGCCGAGCAACGCAGTGGATTTGCCGAGAACCAGCAAATGTCAATATAATGTTTAATGTCACTGCTTTGGCAGGTCATCTGTGGTCATGTTCTTTTTAAAGTGCCTCTCCAGAAACCCCTAAAAAATAATCTCTATCAGTGATTTAAAAGTTAGTTTTTCCATGAAAATATTTCTTTCCGGACCTAAAGTGGCTTAGATGTAATTCTACACTGTTGCCTCAGTGAGAATGTGCAGATTTCTTTAGAATTAGAAGATCCATAAAGTGCCAAAAACAGTGTTTGAATGGCCACTTGAGGCTGCCTCCAAACTGAGCCAATGCCCCTAAACTTCCATGTTAAAATGTCCTAAAAACATATAAACATATCTGGTACAAAAAAGTGGTTTAGGTCGCTCTATATATATTCCCTGTTCATGACAACATTATGGGGAGTGATTTTTTACACAACTTGCCCATTTAAATTGTACAAGGGTTTAAAGTTCTGCATGATTAAGGCCACGGCCGCTTACTGTGACTGTAAAACTACACAACACATACGCAAGTTGTAATATGGGAGTAATTCATCCCTACATCTTTAAATCACAATCTGATTCTGAAGAAGAATAATGCTGCTGAAAGTCCCACCCTGTAAGTAAACAGGACTGGTTCCTTGGGTTTGTTACGCATGAAATCCCACAAGTCTGAATTTGTGTCTCTGAGACTGTCATTGATACGCCACAGTTTCAAGACAGAAATGCTCAGCCATGGTGATGGCTGCTTGTTTTGATCATGATTAGTTTTCTATCCTATTTAAAAACACCATATTTTGCATAGTTACATCTGAGCTGGTTTAAGGCAGAAAGGGATTTATTTTCACGGAAAAGACACACAGAATGAGTTTTAGGTGTTAATGACCGAAAAGGAACTTAAGAACAACTACCAACACATGTGTCAGAGATAAATAAGGCACTTAGAGGTTCAGCTCACAATAACAAAGCAAAAATGACTTACGTTTTTAAAAATAAAATAAGCTAAAGGAAATAATTTACTCACTGCACGCACTCTGGAACAAACAGGACCAGCTTAGCTGAAGGACAAACTGACAAAGACACTGAGTTCACCTGTCAGCTGCCTGATTAACACACCTGCACCTGCTTCCAGGTGGTGGGATCCTGACCCAGCAGTCATGTGACCCCCACTGCCAACAAGAAACCTAAAATTAGATGAATATATTACCTAATTTATGAACCTTTTTGTCAACTATTGTTAAGCTTTAACTCTGACATTAAAATTATGCAGGTGAATTTATAATACACATCATATTTAAGGGTCTTACAATTAATATTTCAATTAGTACTGTCAATTTGTATAATAAATAATATTGTGGGGTTGTTCACCTGATAGTTAAACTAATCAGGCACGTTTCTAAAAATAAATAATATTGTTGGGTTTTACCCTCTATATGAGTCATGTAAATTTCTATTGTACATGCCATTTATTTACTCATGGTGTGAATGTCTACTCTGCTCATTCTGCTTATTTTCTACATCTGATGGTGCAGCCAGTGTTACAGTAACAGATTGGAAAATAAAAGCATTTTTGACTCCCACAGTAACTCTCCAGTGTGTCTTTAATCTAAAAAAAAAAAAAAAAAAAAAAGATAAATAACAGGAGTTTGTGCTTCAAGAAACATTATACAGAATTACAAATGCTTCAAAAGTCATTACATTCACCTTGTGGTTGGAACTGTGAAATCATCTTTACAAGCCTCTTCTCTGTGCCTGCATGTGACTGACAGTTACCATCCACTTCACTTGTCACTCAGCTGATCTTTCACAACCTTCTGCAGTTTTTCCCTTTACAGTCTATCCACCGCGAGTCAGAATAACCGGGAGGGAAAAAAACGTCCTCCAGCGTTGGCACCTTCAGAAAAACACATCAGGTGCGTTACGAAAACCACGCGACCGCGCTGCTTTGAAAAATGAGTCGACAGAAGTCTGAGCCCGACAGCAGATGAACAGAAAGAAACAGGGAAGACGAGCAAAGCAGTCATGATCAGAACAAAAACTGTAAGAGCTACATGTAAATGTACAAGAAGTTTTTTCAGCACTGTTTGATTGTGTACATCGTAATACTTTCTCGTGATCAAATGACACGCCTAACAAGTATTACTGATTCATGTCAGAATGTCACAACAGGGAAGATGAGATGAAAGTTATGTTAATTCTGCCTTCAGCCTTCATCTCTCTCAGCCATTTGCCTTTTGATATTTTTCAACATACACCACAGCAACACTGAACCTAACAGTTACATTTACTGGACGTGCGCTCCTTAAACACATCTCTAATCATATGAAAATAATCTCCGTTCCAAATAAATGAATACATTTTTCTACACTAAATGTGCAATTCTTATACAAAGTGAATGCAGATAATTCTTCAAACGTGTCTTTCATGTCTCTCTTCAGGGATGCAGTTTGTGTAGCTTTCAGATCGAGTGACTGCTTGGTTTTCACACTTGTTCCACCCCGCTGGGGAGGAGTAATCTCTTCGTTGCACAGGGACCTTAAGGGTGAAGGAGTATTGAGTCTGTGCGTAAGAAACAGGAGGCACTCTGAACCCTCTGCGGCATGGAAGTCCATTCATCCCACGCTCCACAGCAGCATCTGACCAGGAGAGGGGGTTTCAGGGGGAAGGACGTGACGATCTGGGGGGGTGGGGGCATATGGCTGTTTTGTCCAGAGATTCGGGCTGCTGGGTGGCATTGGCTGTTCTAGCTGCCCGGCAGGACCGGGTCAGACACGTGCCTTTGGATCTCCTGCATCTCTGTGGAGGTCTCCAGGTGCTCAGGGAGGGAGGGGAAGCGCTGGGTGCCACACAGCAGTCCAGGAGGCTGCTGAGGAGGGGTGATGTCCACAGAGGGCAGGCGTGGAGGGTCGGCCTCCGGCGACATGGACATAGTGTCGTCTGACGCCACAGTGAGGTGGATACCGCTGGACAGGGAGTCCTTGGATTTGTGCTGGAAGTCAGAGTCTGGACTCTGGAGGGACAAAGAAGCAGTTTTAACATTTTTGTAACTCTAATCGTTTTTTTTTTTAAAGAGATTTTCCCTGTTTTGTTGAATTCTGGATAATAACCAGAACATTCACACAAAAAAGTATTAATTTACATGACAACTGTGAAGAGAAAAAACATCAAAAACATAGATTTTTAAACATGGTAATTTGTTGTTTTACAACTGTAAAATGACACTATTCAATCAGAACATATATATATGTATTTGACAGATATTTGCTGTTATGTGAAAAAAAACATATTAAGGACGGGAAATGCTAAATAATTTTTTAAACTGTGTGTTTATTTTTTAACAGATTTAATTTTTTTGTTAAATTTTGCAGTTATTCACATAATTCAGATGAATCAAATGACAAATAAGCATAAAGCTCTGAGTATCCATTTTTTTAAACAACACAAACAGATGTTAAATTGTTCACATTTGTGTTTTTGCTTCAGAATTAGATTTTTAAGTAAAAATATACAGAAAAAAAAGTGTTTATGGTTGGACACAATCACAGTTGCTGCCTTGTTTCTATTTACTTTTTCATCGTGTTCCATCTACCTGATTTAATGGTTTCAACTTTAATATTGACTTAGTTAATTTAGTAATTTAACACATTTTTAAAAAGTTAAAATCATTTTCGGTAGTAGGTTTAGTCCCAATAGGGTTTAAAAAAAAAAAAGAAAAGGTGATTCACAGGTCAGCAAACTTGTGATAAGCGCGTATAATAATCACAGCACCTGTATGAGTGAGGCAGTGCTGTCGATCTGCACCGGCGGGATTGGAGGGACGGTGTGGATTGTGGGAGCTCCGGTGCTGTACAGTGTGGTGGGGTGAGGCGGGTGAGGGCTGGGGGACACAGCGCTGTAGGCTGGAGGCACTGGAGCCATCTGCCTCTGGAGGAGCTGCAGGATCACGTTGATGTCTGCTGTCATACGGGTCTCCAGTCTGGACAACACAGAAAAAGGACATGAGGAAAGCTTAAAACACGACTGAGTTAAAGCACAACATTTGCACAATGATTTCTGCTGTGGCGAAAAGGTCAGTTCCTCTGTTAAGAAGCGCTTTGGAAATATTCATTTTGTCCTCAGCTGTGTCCTCATCTGCTTTTAAAGAAGTGTCCACTAGGCTTCTCTCTTGCTCTCTCTACAGCATCTCTCACACAAACATTTAGCAGACAGGCAGTTAAAATGAAGCACATATGACGGCCTTAACAGATTTTCCAACAATATCAGTCTCACCCAAAGGTCAAAGGTCAAAACATCTTCTTATATTTATCCTTTCATCCTCGTCTCTCTCCTCCATGTTTCCTACACTCATGCAACTGACATTGTGCAAGCCTGCAGCTGGGAACTGATATGCAAACACAGAAGCATTACAGGGTGGAGCTTCATGTAGAAAAGGAAACAGTGACACTGAAACAATACAAACGAAAGCCTCCACCTCAACCAGACTATCACACAGGGGGTATAGCTCAGTGGTAGAGCATTTGACTGCAGATCAAGAGGTCCCCGGTTCAAATCTGGGTGCCCCCTCTTTATTGTCACTCTTCCGTTTAAACATAAAAACCAGTTACCGGTTTAACTGGGACTGCAGCAGCTCCAGACGGGATTCCAGTTCGCTGGGCCGGTCCTCAGCGCAGGGTGGAGGGTGAAAACTGGCTCTGACTGACGACGGTCGCCTCTGGCTGTCTGAGAACTGACTGGCCCTGCGGTCTGGCCAGTATCCATAGAGGCCAGACATGCTGATAGGGGCTGCTGCTGTGCAGAAGGAAAGGAGAATTCATGTTCAATCTCTTGTCTACTTTTATTTGAAGAAAGAATGTGGGCAATACAGACTGTCACAGGGTTATTGGACTTCTCATTCCACTGTTGGTTTAGTTTTGTCTCAGCCTAGAGGCTCCTTTCACTTTTGTTCTTGTTAGTTTCAGTTTTATTTTTACTACTCTTGGTAGCACTGACATTTGAAATGTAACACCTACAAATGTTAGTTTACATCCTATTTAAGATAACTTCTAGTTGCAGCCAGTTTAAATTACACATGTAAAAGATGTGCAAATGTAGTATAACATTTCCCTAATCGTTTTCATTTTGGCTTCATTTTCAGATTGGATTTGATTAATGTTAACTCCAGTTTGAATTGTGTGTTCTTTTATGTGCATTTCATTTTATAGCACTGGTTTAAACGTGAACTTTGGACCTGAATTTAACTCCTCTGGATTTGTTTTGGCACCGACCCCCAATGACTGGAGGCAAACTCCACCCGTAGTCTCGCTATAATTCAGAGAGGAAATTGAAGGAGGAAAGGATCGACATGAAACTCCTGAGTGCTTTTCCCTAATTTCACTGCAGTGTCTCATCATATTGAAATCACATGTCATCATTAAATTAAAAAAAAAAAGGAGCTCTGCCTTGTTTTATAAAAGACATGATATCCCTGACACATCTGGAGCAAGAATTTGGCATCTAAAGTCACCTTTCTAGCAGAGGAAGACATGTAGGAGCAAAAGTGAGCTGGAAAACTATGACTTATTGAGAGAAAATGAATATCAGGGGCAAACTCTGAGGAGGACACAGATTAAACTGTGAGCCCGACCTCTAAAATGTCTTGAGGCTCTATCAGGGGTATTGGAAACTAAGCAGACATGACTGATAAATGGATTGAAGGTATTCTTTGCCTGTGTATGGAGGACCTCCGAGGTCTACCGGTGGTCCCATCCCAGCAGAGGGTCCGCTGTGAGGCAGCAGGTTGACCACAGCCGGCGGGTAATCTCGGGTGTCGCCCCCGGGTGGGTACGGCTCCCCCTTGCTGTGTCCCACGGGCTTCATTTCCTCATCACTCGACTGCGAGCAGACACTAGCGCTGCTGCAGAGGTCCTCCCACTGAGATCCTGCCATGGTGCCCCGGTGGTGGTTCGCCATCGGACAGGACTGATCTGGGTACGAGTCTTCGCGGTCCATCCCATCTGTATGCACACAGAGTCACAGGACAGGCGCGATGAGACAATGTAGAGATATTTAAACATTTAGAAGTGCCTCGTCTCTCACTCACCTGGCCTGTTTCGGCGACGCAGGGAGCGACGGTGCCTCGTCAGACGGTAGCCACATTCAGAGTCCCTGCCCGGGGTTGTCTGGTTTATTCTATCTGCCTGATACATATCAGCTTCAGTAATTCAAAAACACAAATCAAGTCTCATGCTTAAAGGACAAATAACAAATCTATGGGGGTTTTGTTTGTTTGTTTGTTTGTCTGTTTTACAAATGTGGGGCCTGTGTCCTTTCGTTGAAGAATGTTCCCTGTATAAGTTTGTATAATTGTGAGTCAAGAAATAATTTTGGCATCTTTTCAATTTCAACTCTTAAGCTTCTGAACCTCAAGTAATTTCTGGATGTTTTTCACCTCTGTGGGCTTCTTTTTTTTTTACTGCAATATAAAGTCTTGCACCTCCATGGAAACAGCACAACCATGGCCAGAAGTAGAAAGAACTCAGAAAAAATCCTTCTGTTTGATGATAAAAGTTGAATTTCTACGATTATGTATTGAAAAAAATGGAACACACATTTCTAGATGTTTTCCAAATGCCTCCAGGTGTTACAAATACTGGAAAAAAATGGTGACTCTACATACTATCGATCTTTTACTACTTACATTTTCAATTTATGTCCATATTCTCAGGTCTCTGCTCTATGTATGTGAACACAGGCTGCAGTTCATCCCAAATATGTAAACAGTCATATTGTCATCACAGTATTAAACAAGCCTGAAATAAAACTATGTATGAACCACTGTTTTTAAAAAATCTCTGGCAGTGTGTTTTGTGTCATAAACTTGTTTTTGTTTTTAATAAATGGCCAGTGTGAACAAATGAGTCAGTAACAGTTTCACCATTGTGCGATGAAGTCCTACAAGAGCCTGATTAGAGTAAACCTGTGCAGAAAAAAAGAATTTTGATGAAATATTCTGATTTTAAGCTCAGATTTAGTTCCATTTTCTACACTTTACAGATGAGTATTTTGCGGACCAATGAAAAATTTAAAATCTAACAGTCCATTCTGTTATTTGTGACTCTGACAAATGCTGTAATCTGATGATTTTTGAACAAGATGACATGACTTTTAAACCTTTTGGGGTTCAGAGGGTTAACATTTTTGGAGCAGGCGTGCTGTGCCTGTAGACACAAATGTTTGTCAGTGTGTGTTTGTGGATTCTTTAAGACCCACTCAAAATCTTGAATGACTACAAACCACATGCGTTCACAATGAAAACTTCAGTGCACACTACGAGGATGCTGCGTGCAACATCGTCCCCTGGTGGCACTCACATCTCTCAGGTTGAAGGTGATCTCCAAGTTGTTCCAGAACATGTCGGCGAAGTCAGGATACATGTCGAGCACCTCCAGCAGGTCGTCCCTCAGGATTTTGTGAAGGTCGCAGTAGGTCAAAGCTCTGACGTCAGCGCTGGATTTCCCCGGCCTCCCATACAGACTGATAGGCTCACCAAAGATGTCATTCTTTCCTGCGTAAATCACAGCAAAAAGGAAGGACCAGCATGGGGAAAGAGAAACAGTAAATCAATACATGCTTGGCAAAGTGAAAACAGTTTAGTGACAACATTTTGATGGATGAATCTGAAGCTAAAAAAAAAAAAAAAAAACTAAAGCGACAGTGACACGGCTCTACAACGCTGCTGCAGCTCAGCGCAGATTAATGGTCCCCACAAACAATGACCTATGTGGCCTGGATCTGACTGCTGGCTCTATTGATGATCAATGCCACTGTGGAATGGAAGTGGAGCTGTGCCCAAACACCTCTGGCGACACAACAACACACAGAGAAGTGTGCGTTGTGTTAGCGTGGTGTAAAGGCCAATGTCACTTGTGACTGTGGCTTTGCAGAAAACAAACAGATACAGAAAAGTGACAAAAGGAAAATCCCCAAATGATACTGAAATAGTTAAAAATGAAAACTAATCTGTTAGAATTTTTGATTTTCAGTTGAGATTTGTTGATTGCTTAAGTGAGTAACCAGCTCACCCAGTATGGCCACCACCACGTCGTCCCTGAGGATCTCTATCGAGCCTCTAGAGATGAAGTACACGGCAGTGAGAATGTCCCCACTGTGGACTAGAGTGTCGCCCGGAGGAGCATGGGTGGTCTTGAATCGCATGGCCAGAGCCCGCAGGCAGCCTTTGTTGGCACCTCGAAATGCTTTGCAGTTCTGCAGCAAACTGCGGTTCAAATGAAGACATATGTCAGCCTGTAGACACTCAGGGAAACCCTTTAAAACCTGCAGAAAAAAAGCAGAGGGAACAGGGTGAAATTAAATAATTCCTAAATGCATTTGTCCTTTGCAACACAGTTAAATGTCCTGTATCTTTGAAACTGCAAAATCTAAAAGTGGAAAATTAATCTGAAAGTTTCGTGAAAAAGAACTCGAGGGGGTGAGAGAAGGAGAGCGATGTGTCGGATTGATTGGGGCGGGGCTTAAAGGACAGGAGCTCCAAGTGATGATCTGTTCTCACATTGAATTGGCAGCCGCTAATGCTGCTCTCTGGCTGCGTCATGCTCTGGTGCTGTGAGCAGCAGAAGCCCAAGCAGCGATATGACGCACATCATCCCTAAAATATGGGTCTCTCACTGGGGCAACCTCAGTGGAAACTACTGGGTCTAAATGAAAAGGGGGCACCCAGAGTTGAACTGGGGACCTCTTGATCTGCAGTCAAATGCTCTACCACTGAGCTATACCCCCTACAGGAGGCTTCCTTTTTTTGGGATTAAAGTAATATGTGTGTATATGTGACACTTAAGCTCAGAAGAAAGATGAGCTTCCACATGAGCTATGTCCTGTGAGGATAACCTATATTGTAGAAACATACAGTCCTATAACATCTGTGCTGATCAGGACACATAAGTGAAGTAAATGTTACACAGTGTCATATGTAACCAGGGGGCACCCAGAGTTGAACTGGGGACCCTTTGATCTGCAGTCAAATGCTCTACCACGGAGCTATACCCCCTACAGGGGAATCCCTTTTTTGGATTAAAGTAATATGTGTATATATATGATGCCTAAAATCAATAGAAAGAATGGTTTCTGCATGAGCTGTGTCCCGCAGTGCATTGAGGATAACATATACTGTAGAAACATACAGTCCTATAACATCTATGCTGATCAGGACACATACATAATCACACCCTTCCATTAAAGAAAAGACAAAATTCACAATAGTCACTCAAATAAGTATAAACTGAAAAAAGTAATAATCAATTTAAAAAATTGCTAAATTATAATTTAGTGAAATAAGACATTGCTTTTGAATTGTGGTTGAAAAGAATAATTTAAAAATAACAAAAACTGTCCTGGACAAATTAGAGCACTTTGCTGATGAGCAGTGGGCCTAAATTAAAAATACCTGTCAACAGGTGCAGATTGAGTTACAGAAAACACTTGATTGCAGTGATTTGCTCAAAAGGGTTGTTCAACAAAATATTAGTTTACGGGTCCCATCATGCTGGTTTGCTTGTGTTTTTTTTTCTTCTAATATTTCAGTTGAACCACAATTCAAAGGCAATGTCATGATTTTCATTAAATTTTATTTATTACTTTTGTCAATTTCAACTTATTTCAGTGACAGCTGTTTTTTTCCTTCTTTAATGGGAGGATATGAATACATTAGAGGAGACTGTAAGTAAAGTAAACGTTACACAGTGTCATAGTGAGCCAGGGGGCACCCAGAGTTGAACTGGGGACCTCTTGATCTGCAGTCAAATGCTCTACCACTGAGCTATACCCCCGCAACAAACACTGACTCAGAGACCAAAAAAATCATTTGCAACTGAACATTTTTACATTTTTACTAACCATCTATTTATTTTATTATATTGTTTTATTTTTAAATTTATTCTATTCTAAAAATCCAAACAAGGAGCTCTCACCTCTTGTGAATTATAACAGCATACTGCGTGCATGAATGTCTGTATGACTTACAGCGTTCATGTCGATGCCGTTGGTGTAGGACCAGGCGTGTTGGAAATACTCCTCCAGTCTTTGTCTCAGGCCTCCTGGGATCTGGTGGAAACGGATGAACTCTTTGACCCGCAGCATCTGCGTGTGGTAGCGAGCCGTGCCGGAGTAAAGTCTCTGGATGATGGCTGACACGTTCCCAAAGATGCTGGCGTACATCAGAGCTGAACAGGACAGAGGACAGGAAACAATGTATGCTGGAAGCGTTCTGGTACCCATAGGATTAATAATACTTCCGCTAATACTATACTACTATAATACCCTCGTTTTGATTCCAGCCACAGGCGTTTGTTTCATGTCATATCTCACTACCCATGTTTACCCAGTGTTACTTTGAAAAATCTCAAGACATACATGTTTCCAATTGACTTTTTGTTGTTTTTAATGGTCTTAATATTTTAGTATCATATATTTATTTTACTTTAGAATTTTATCCTACAAGTTGCTGTCCTGTTTGTCTTGTTTTTTTTGTTTTTTACTAGTATTTCATAATATTTTTACAAGTTTGATTCCGTTTACACTTATGGCCACACCACTGTGCCCAATCCCATCTGATCTCGTAAGCGAAGCACGGTCAGGCCCAGTTAGTACTTGGATGGGGGACCGCCTAGGAATACCTGGTGTTGTAAGCTCTGCAATGTGGCTTGGTGGTTAGCACTGCTGCCTCGCAGCTAGAAGGTTGCCAGTTTGCATCCCGGTGAGGACAGCCATTATCTTTCTGCGTGGAGTTTGCATGTTCTCCCTGTACAGCGTGGGTTCTCTCTGGGTTCTCCAGCTTCCTCCCACATGTTGAGGTTAATTCTAAATTGTATTGTATTGTAAATTGAATGCGAATGTGCTTGGTTGTCTGCCTCTATGTGTAGCCCTGCGATGGACTGGTGACCTGTCCAGGTTGTCCCCTGCTGTCGCCTTAAGTCAGCTGGGATAGGCTCTAGTGAGGATTAAGCAGTGTATAGATAATGGATGGATGGATATTTAAACACAACCCCCCTTACTATACTTGAATGATTGGATACATGCAGGAAGAATTCCATTATTTCTGGGTTTCAGAGGCAATAATTTGGCTTCATAACTAAAATAAATGTTAAATTAACAGACAGAGTGTCTGTATTTTCACATGAAAGTGTCACTAAAAGACCGAAGCTTTGAACATTGTCACATAACCTTCTTAAACACCTTCAGACCCTCTTCCTGCTCTACTCACAGCCGATGAGCATGACGCAGATGGAGAAGATCTTCTCTGGGTTGGTGTTGGGCGACACATTGCCGAAGCCCACACTGGTCAGACTGCTGAAGGTGAAGTACAGGGCGGTGACATACTTGTCCTTGATGGAGGGTCCAGAGGTGGCGTCACTGTCATTGTAGTGTTTACCGATCTGGTCGGCCAGGTTGTCCAGCCAACCGATCTTCATCCCGCCGATGCGGGCAGAGCCGGTGCGCTCCACATTGCCGATGGCGTACCAGATGCAAGCGAGCCAGTGAGCGATGAGGGCGAAGGTGCACATGAGGAGGAAAAGGACGGCTGCTCCGTATTCTGAGTAACGGTCCAACTTCCTGGCAACTCGCACCAACCTCAGCAGTCTGGCTGTCTTCAGTAATCCAATCAGAGTCGTTGTTTGAGGCTGTAAAAGCAGTCAGTGTAGAAAAAATGTCAAACTGGTGAAACATTTGGTTCATCATAGGATCTTAAACATATGTTTGCTGCAGATTAATCTGTCTTTTTGCAGAGGACAAATTAAATTAAAAGAATGGACTCACTGCATCTCAAAACCTCTAAATGTCTTCACAACAAATTAGAATAGTTGTTGTTTATATAAAATTACAATACTCTGCTGCAACACTTTGCACTTTAAACATTGACCTGTTACATATTTATTAAGCCTTTTTTTAATGTATTTTTTCTTTATTGCCTTTATCTTTGTATAGCTTGTGTTTTACTCAAAGAGTGGCCTAATAAATGTCATTATATTGCTGTGTTGCACTGCACTATGATGATGATCAACCTTCTTAGTCTAATCAAGCATGTATTGGATGTTTTTTTAATGTATCATATGACAAAAAAATTGACAGCATTCCCAGATTATCAGCAGTTATTAATTCATAAAAGCCTGTGATGGATCTGGAAATTGTGTTTTTGTTAAGTAAAGGATCTTAAACGTGTAAAGAACGATTTAGCAGACATCCAACCACTTGCTTGTATCGGTCTCTCTTGAAAACCAATACACATTTCTTCTGTTTTCTGTCATTACTGTCCACTACTATCCCATAATTTTTGCTGCATCATACAATGAACCTCTTTCACCCTACAGGAACCAGTCCCGGGATTAGACCGTATCTGTTTTAAAAACGCAGCTGCCGCCATTTTTAGAAAGTTGCCAAGTGCAGCACATTGACTGAGGAAGCCAGACGGTACGACGATGACTAATATGAATGTGACATTTGTTGTGCTTCATCATCTGTTGCATCAAATTTGCTTTTCGATCAGATTCATTAACTTCAGGGCCGCTGAATCATTCTTACAAGGCTGGTATTTTATTCTCTAATTTGCAATTTGATTGGAAGGATCAATTTTTTTGTCCATTTTTGCCACAATTGTCCAAATCTCAGTCTGTCTGCATGATAAGAATAAGGATACTTGTTGTATTTAAAGATTCTCTCAACTGTCTCCTATTCATAGAGCCCAAACTTGTTCATTTTGGCCTTGCAATGTTGCAGGTTTGCTGACAAAGGTGAAGATTGCAAAAAATAGCCTACACCTTAAGGAGTTAAACACCTTTTCAATTTCCCCTACATTGATAAGGACAGAGGAGATAGAGCCAAGAAATACGAGGGGAGAGGCAGGGGTATTTCATACAGCAAATCTAACCTCCATGAACCTATTAAGAAATACCAGTAGGTCTTTTTCTCTGCAGAAATTTGGACATGTCGCAGGAAAAGCGCTTATAGCACTAAAAATGGCTGGATTCCATTTAGCTGGTTCACTAGCTTCACCTACTAAGATTTAAATGGACAAGAGGATGATATTGGAGACATGCAAAGACAGAGTTTGTCATCTTCTATCTGTTGCAAAACACATGGAAACACTAGAAAAAGCAGAGTGTCAGAGTTTTAAGGCTCATGCTATCTGCTGAGTGTTTTTTTTTTCTCACCTCCTCTGAACCAGAGCGAAATATGAGCAGATCAAACGGGATGGCAGCCACGATGTCAATGAGGAACCAGCCCTTGAAGTAGTGCTGCGCAATGTGTCCCGGGTGGCTGACCACCTCGTCGTTGTGGTTGACGTAGGTGGTCCTGAAGTTGATGAGGATGTCCACGATGAACATGACGTCCACCACCAAGTCCACCACGTTGAGCGGGTTGCAGGTGTAGCCACAGCTTCTCCTCCGGTCCTCCTCCACCTCGTTGAGGAGGAAGGCGGCCGAGTACGGCGTGAAAATGGCCGTGTAGATAACCAGCAGCAGGATGACCCAGTCCCACACCGCTTTGAAGGGGCTGTAGTGCAGGATGGTCCATTTGTGGATGCGTGGGGCCTGGAGCTTGTACTCCGGCAGCACGTCGGCACCGAGGGACAACACCTGAGGAGGGGAGGACAGGGAGCAAAAGAGGTTTGTTTAATAACCGTGAAGTTTAATTGACTGAACTGAAGCATGTATATCAAATAGGAAGAAGTTTGTCCATTAGCTGATTTATCTGGTAACTTATTAGAGCATGGAAAGTGATTACACTTTGGCACTCTGTAATCAGGAAAAACCGGCAACTAACATTTTCCACAAGAACAGAAATGAGTTTGAAATAAAAAGTGGGGGAAAAAAAATCAGTATTTGTGCTATCTAGTAATAACTTTTTATTACCTCGATCATTCAAATACCATAAAGTAAATATAGCTATTTTTTTAAGAGTTAACATTTTTCAGCAAGTTCTGCTTTTCATATGAGATTTAATGTTCTTGCACTGTAATGCAGTTCACACTCCACTCTTGATTTGTGTGTAAATGGCAGATTTAGATTTTATTTATGCACAGCTTGTTTAAAACTGCATACTGACACATTCCTTTATATTTAATCAAATTTCTGTATAAAACACTAAACAGTCAAATCTCATTAGAGCTGCTATAAGTTCATAATTTTTCATTTTAAAATGCTGGTAGTGCTTTCCCACAGCTGCACATACACAAATGTGTGTTTTTTGGACACCAACTAAGCTGAAGTTGAGGCAAAGACAAAAACATACTTGAAACAAATGCACATTTACCATTTGACAAGAAAAGCCTGAAGCAAAAGTTTTTTTTAAGCTGCAGGAAACCCAACGTGTACAGTTGTGTGATTAACAGCTGCTCAGTTAAACTTTTATATTTGCTTCCATATAACACTTTATCCTCAAAGTAAAGTCCAACTTGTTCCAATATTTGACTCAATGTTGTCTCACATGATAACACTGAGACCTTCACACAAACACAAACAACATCACTTCGCCTGGCAGGGAAAACGTTCATGCATAAATTAGCAGCTGCACACATTTTGGGGGTTTGACACTCACTTCCACTCGATCAGGCTTTAATGGAAAACACACTGTGCCAAAGATAAGCTGCTACTTTCTCAAATTGAATCACAACAAGTTTGGCATGAGGAAATGTCACAGTGTGTTAACAGCACACAGTTTCCTGATGTGACACATTTTTAATGCAGCAAAACTTTTAAAAACAACTCCAGCCTCTTCTCTTTTAGAGCAGCATCCTCATCCAGTGTTGCCAACCATCAAGTCAAGCATCTTTAACAGGTAAACCAACACAGAGCAGTGAATTAACAGGGACTGAGTCAGCGATGAGTGAGAGCCCACTGACCGGTACGACTAAAAGAGCCTCCATGTCCAGGTTGTCGTCCAGGCGTCGACCACAGCAGCAGAGGAGGAGGCTCCTCCAAACCCTCTGCAGCCCTACCTGCCTGCAGTGCAGCGGCCATCTCCTCCCCTGCATCACCTTCTCGCAGAAATATCTCAGATCTGATTCTCACAAACACCACAATCCAGCTCTAAATCAAAGTCCTGTCCTGACTGAATCCTCTACAAACTGCCCCATTTAATGAGCTTCACCTGCTCGTACTGCACCATGTGACCGCCACTCTATCTGCACCATGTGACCCCTGCTGTGAGCGTTTTTGGTCAATTGTGGACCAGAATAAGTGCTGGCATCGACTGGGCACCATGCAGAGGAGTGGTTGTAGTTAATTCTTGTTAATGGCAAGGTCGAATTGTCATTGTGGAAGTGAAAATGCTCCTTTTGCATGCTTCTCCTGCATCAACCAACTAGCCAAAATACGTGGTGCATTTCTGTGCTTCCATGTCCTCGCAAACCCTTTCGCGGTTGGACCCTCATTTACATTTGAGTTTGCATAATTATGAGGAAAGACGAGTGCAGATGCAGCCTAACGCGAAACTAAGATCACACAGGAACCAGAAGCAAAGACTAGCCAGATAACATCTATTTAGAAAAAAATCCCCTCCAAAAATACATTTTTCCTTTCTCTCTCCCAGCTTAAATGAAAACAGTGGCCAGAAATAGTTAGTTTCTCAAGAACTAAATGTGCACTTGGCCATATTTGGTAGAAAAAGTCTGATCTTCAGTAGGAGTAACCAAGGTTTCTATAGTTCTCCATTATTACAGTGGGATGCTGGCCACTGCTGTTGCTCCATAGATCTGTTTTAGGCCGATGAACGGCATAAAATATTTTGAAAAAAAGCATAGGGCGGGAAAATTCCCAGAATTTATTAAATTCTTCAACCAGAGCAACCTGTGGCACTCCTTCGTGTGTCAGCAACAAACCACGGTAGCTGAACAGATGCGAAAAGACAACACAGTAATGAGAATGTAAACACACGAGCAAAGGTTCACTCATCCAAGAAATTTTACGTTATTGATGTTGTCCCCGGCTCTGTTTCATAACGACCACCACAGAACAACTGCCACCACCAGTTTGCACGCAACCGCTCTCTGCTGGTACTCTGACTTTTTCAACTGCCACAGCAGGAGACCACCATTTACAGACGCTCATATGTACAAGATTGAAAAGAGAGTTGAGGTGCGAAATATGAAGGAAGTTCAAAGATGTAAGTGGATGTAAACAACGTACAACAAAAAAGAAAAAAAATATATGTGAAATTGCTGCTTCTCCAGGATTAAAAGAAGTACAGATTAAATGAAAATCATAAAAAGACATTATGGTGGATAAAGATAAATGTAAAGTGCAAAAACATTCACTAATTTTCATTCTGTGCAAACTGCATCCATAAAATTACAATTTCTGGCTACTGCATGCTCATTATTCAGTTTTACTACACTGCAAACACAAAACACATCATCTATTTATGCACTTAAAGCCCCACAATAAAGCCAAAACAGGACCAGGATGCTATTAAAAGCAGAATAAACTGAAGATTCTGTACATAATTTTTGTGTAATTTGTCCAAACAAGACAGCAAAGCGACATGACCTCAGCCTAACCTGAATAAAGTGGCTTTTTCTCACCTGTGGAGCTACAGTACTGTGTGAAAGGTTGAATAAAGAAGGAGAGGAACAACAGGGAAGGGGACAATAATGGCAGCTGACAAACAGGGATATGGAGCTGGAAAAAAGAAATAAACAGGAGAGTTTGAGGGGAACAGCAGGGAGCATGTAAGACCCAGGAAGGCTGAAGTACTCACAGGCTGAAGTTTCTGCTTGATGCTCATGCTGGAGCGCAGCACAGGGTAAAAAGCAGGAGAAGACTAAGACTAAAAGAAAGAGAGAGAGCAGAGGAGAAGGAAAACCTCTGTCCATCGAGCTGTATCTCCCTCCCTTCTGCTCCCTCGCTCTTCCTCCCTGCTCGTAGCCCTGCCCTCGCCACGGGATCCCCGTTCAAACTCATAAAAAATGATGCAGCCGCTTTATGAAGGACGCCACCCGCACTAAACAAGCAATAAAAATCAAAGCAGGTCCCGTTTGAACTGATAAAAATATGTAACAGCAAGAACCTTTTAGATTTGATTGAATTAGGCCAGAATATTTTATTGTGGGCTGCACATATAGGCAGTCTGAGTTATGGTCAGCTCCCGGGGAAATTATTATGATGATTTGCATCTTTGTTTGCATGCATTGTAATACAACCACATTGACTGATTTCATGTGTGTGCTTTTGCCTCTTTGAGGCATGAATTCATGTTGTAGTGTCTCTGAAGTAACTTTTCAATTATGCTCTCTATAAAACTACATGTGTAATGTTGCAATACCATTATATATGCTTTGAAATTCTTTGAATGACTGTATTGCTCTTTATATTTTTGTCAAATCCTATGATTGAATGCATTAAAAGAACCCTGAAAGAAGCTCATATTCAACCCCTGATACTCAGCAGGATTAACATTTTGATAGACTTGTCACTAATCCACATTGTGAGCACATGTTGTTTTCATTTAATAATGATACACAAACAATTACAGACACAGATACTGAAAATCACAGCGCCAACGTACAAAAACAAAACCCCAATCGATTCAAACAAGTGATTTCTCTACACTGTCCTGCTTTAAGTTGATTCAAAGCCAGGGGGCGCCACAGAAACACACTTCTGCTTCATTAAAACACACACACACACACGCACACACACACACACACACACACACACACACTGCTCTTACAGCGCGTTTCTACAGTTATCGCAGCCTGGTCAATCCGGCTGTGTGTTTCATGTTAAGCAGACAAATCAATACGAGCAAAGATCAATGACAACCTTCATTTCCCTTTTTTTTTAAGATGCCAATCGAAATCCAATTATAAAGATAATTTTATTGTATAACGAAACCTAACCAATTGAAAAAGGCGAGGCATGGTTCAACATTTAGTTACAAGCACATGGTCTTTCGCACACTTGGTAATGGTCCGCTGCTGCAGTTTGTTCTCACATGGCAGCAGCAGCAGCAGCAGCAGGGATCACTGTGACCTGAACCTGACCTCGGTCTGACATTTGTCTCTGATCTCTTGACTGTGATGCTCCAGGAAGACAGCTGAAGTTGTTTTAACAGGACAAAAAGTCAAACCGAGATAGAGACAGTGTTAGGCGGACTGCGATTTAGTGTGCAGCTGGAGGTTTGATGCCTGCACAGATATCAGGCCTGCCGCCCTCCACTTCCATTAGCTCCAGAGGCCAAGGTCACAGGCAGCATCAAGCCACCGAGAGCCGTTCGATAGCCCCACAGTGGCCGTCCCTTTTTTACCCGCTTTCATAACCGAATCTCGACGGGATCCCCTTCTCTGCTCCCACAGATGGCTCCACAGACTGTCTGTGATCCCCACACACACCCACACTTTCCTCATAGGCATCCTCACACACTCACACAGTAAATCCACCCTTATTCTACCCACTTATATAGCAGTGGTGCTCAAATTAAGGCCCGAGGGCCAAATTAGGCTCATGATAGAGTGCTTGCTCGCTCACTGATCATTTTCAGATTCTCAATGAAAATAAATTGATTTATACCAGGAATTTTAAAGTCCAATAATGTCACTTGGCTGCTGCTAATTTCAAAATAATTAAAATAAAAGTTG